GGGCACATTTATTATTTTAGAAAATTCACATAAGAATTCTTAATTATAGGTTGAAGGGAAGTTCAGGAGTGTGGAGAAAGAAGAAGCTAAAGAGGGCTTACAAGCTTTTTTGGAGGCAAAGAGTTTGATTATCTTTATGTTCGTTTTTCACACCCTTTTCTTTGTAATGAGATTTGTGGTGTTGTGTTTTCTATTGAGACCAATCCTTGCTTTATGTTGAGTTGGAAGGACTGGTATTGTGAGAAAACAGGCGGAAAACAAGGGGAAGTAATTGAAATAAATGAAGTGAATATTGAGTTTATGATTGAACAGGTTTTTAGCTGGAATTTTTCCAAGGAACTTGCATCTTGATTTTTGACCCATTTTAGTGTGGAAATATTAGAAGTGTACATAGAAGAGTTATTTGTTCACTCTATGTGTTAGCTTTTAAACATAGGAGTATTTTTGAATCATGTCCAAATTGGAGTTTGTAATTTAATTGAAGAGATATGACCAAAAGATGTACAGACAGTGCACGGCTTGGAAGGCGCGATCGCGGCGAATTGCATGACGAGTTCCGCGTTGCCTATTCTCGCGCTCGGAATTTGAACCTACGCGCTCGCCAGACTATTCACCTGAAATCTCTGACTCTCATTTGGCCATCTCGCAGCTCTTGCGTACCTTGGCTCTTGGCCTGTAGAGCCGCTCGCGCTTCAATCGTGCTCGCGATTTGCCGATAACTTACTGTCTCTCATTTGCACTTCTTCGCGCTCGCGACTTTCAAGTACGCGCTCGTCGACTTGGTGCCCCTGTACTCACGTAGTCTCTCATGCTGTGTTACGCGCTCGCAGACTTTTGCAAAGTCGCGCTCTGGGACTTTATTTTTTCATGCACCTTTTGGATTCTTCTTTTTATTCAATGCAATTGTAATTTCACTTTGCTTCACTTATATTGCCTCCAATGACATATTTAACATCAATACAACATTTGCCAATATGTCGTATCAAAAAACAATCTTCAAAATGACAAATGATGTGAAATCAAATTAATTCATTAATGAAATTATGAAGGTCTTTAATGAACTATCTAAAAAATTGTGATGTTGTGTTATAATTATTGTACCAACATTTTGCGTTTGAGGTTGGCTAGAAACATGTAGATAAGGCTATGTCGCGACACTAGGATAGAGATTGACGTCCAATAGAGTGTGGTACTCCGGACATCCAGGCCGTTGAGGTCGATATGTATTAATACTATCGGCCC